TTACCCTTGGATAATCTGCGAAAACAACCTATAAAGACAATAACATCATACCGATCACAACTTCATGTACAATCAGTAACATAAAACATATCATAAATTCATGGTCATTAACAATAACTAATCATCACCATTTCTCACTTCACTAGCCTATTAGTATCAATGGGGATCCATAGGGGTGTTCCCGCTATACATGAACCATTTTCATTAACAATCTTAATTCCAGAGCCGTTCCCATACCCCGTTCAGTATGAGTGCCAAAACATTAAACCTTAATACCCCGTCAAGTATGAAAGTGAAGCGGGCTGTCCCCATACCCCGCCCGATATGAGCGCCAAATAACCAAGTCTCCATACTCCGTCTGGTATGAGACAACGTTCACGGTAGGGTTCCCTATGAACCCGGTCCGTCCACCATCTATCAGGATATCTAGTGAGGCTGTCACCTTATCCATTTATCAGATCACATCCCTTTCCTCTTTATCTTTAATCTCCGTTACCAAATTAAACACAATCACATAAATAATGAACATGCACCTGGTAATACAATTATATCTTAAATTTCAAAATCACACAGCGGTCAAATAAGACAGTAATACATGCATTTAAAACTCTAAGACCAGATACCATCATGCATTTGAACTGTAAAATAAATCAACATAAATTAATAGAGAACAATGTCCGATTTCATACTCAATTAGCAATCTGTAATTAATTATGCATATCTATCTAACTGGTACAAAAGACCTTATTATTATTTATTCAAACTTCACATTTATTATAGGAAATATAGTGAGGGGTCCTTACTTGATTCGACGCCAAAACTAGATGGTTACTATGCCTACGGGCGGTTCCTGGGTTCCCTGAATTTTCTTTTGGAAATTGAAACGTACTTACGGTACCTACAAGTGTCCCAAATAAACCCAAAAATCAGACCCAGCATCAACTCGACTAATTTCAAAATTCTGGCACGACGGCTCTGCCGTGCTCCGGCGACGGCGACACCGATTTGCCTCGGGTTGGCTGTTTTCGGCCGAATTCAGCCCGAACTTGCACCGGTTCCTGCAAGAAAACACACTTAGGGCCCTCGGTGAGCCGAAAAAATACAGAAAACCGAAACTCACCAGCGGTAGGGCTCTCCGGTGCGGTAGCTCCTCTGGCTCACGTTGCGGTTGGGTGTTTTGCTTTGGTCAACCTGTAGAGAATGAAACAGTGGTCACAACAGTGAAAAAATCACATCAAACGGGAATCAGGAATGGCCTCATCGGAGGCAAAAATCGAAACATCTCACGGTGGTGCCGCCGAGCTTCAGTGGCGCTTTCCGACCAATCGGCCTGTTCTTTCACTCCAATTTGACAATGAGTACGTTTAAAATTGAATTTCGTAAAAGTGGAAAAATTTTTACCTCGTTTGGCGGTCAGAAATTGCTCTGGTACAGCGGCAGGTGACAACGGTCGGCTCCCTGGCGGCTAGGCTATCTTCTCTGGCAAGGGACTCTGGCGCTTAGGGTTAGGGTTTGGGTACAGATGAGGCTATTTATACCCATCCGCTTTTGATCTGGGTCGTCCATCGCTTTTAATCTAGACCGTCTGATCGCGATTAAATAGGAAGTGAATCTGGGCTGTTCATTGCGATTCAATTTGAGCCGTCCGTGCGCGATTCAATCTGGACCGTCTGTGCGCGATGCAATCTGTGTCATCCATGCGTATTTTTTATTTGGGTCGTCCGTGTGCGCGCGCGCGCACGGCCTCCCGCGTAAGCGTCTCTGCCACGTGGCGCGTTCTGGTTGGTCGGGGTTGCTGACCGAGCAATTGACGTGGCATAATTTTTTTAAATTACGTTTTGGCCTCCTGATTTCTGATTTTTCTTTCAAAAATACCTCCAGAATTCAAAATTTCACCATTTTTTTCAAAATTATTTTCAATTAAATCCCTAACCAAATTTTTTACCTTTATTATTATTATTATTTCTATTAAATTAAAATAAAATGATAATTATATTTATATAAAAATAATAATTAATAAAATAAAAGAAAGGTTGGGTGTTACAATTTAAATTTCGGTAACAATATAATTATTATATTAACAAGTTGAAGTTACATAAACTAAAACTATATAATGAAACATTCATATTTTAAAATTTAATTTAATATATTAATAATTTAAGTCATAGATAATATTAAATTAAATATTATAAATTAATAAATATAATAAGTTTGTTAAAATTTATTATAATTTAATTATCAAAGTATGATTAATACATAAATAATTTAAATCAAACATTATAAAATATGACAAAACGAACATGAATTTTCAAACAACACTCGTGTCTTGATTCCTAATATTTTTTGTATCTTTTTAAAAAATAATTTATTATTATATTATCTTCTTATAAGATAATTAATGTAAAATATTTAAGTCAAATAAAAAGAAGTAGCTAATTGAACTTGATAATTGTATTATATATACCTCCATTTTTTACCGTTGATTTCAGTCGTTATCAACAAATCATCACCCTACGATTTAGTCATATGGGACCCACTTAGCCTACCCTATATTATTGTCAATTTTCTCGTGAAGAAGAAGCGCCAATGGAGCGTTTTTTCCTTCTAACACTATGACCCTTCACAATTCACATTCATCACCCACACCCACCTCAACGTACTACTTTCCTTCTTTCTCACTCCAAACAGACGGAGAAAGAAACTCCCGTTGCTCTATCTATAAAACCAGATTCACCCACCTCAGAAACTCTCCAGAAATCCACTTGAGAGAACAACGAAAGGAGAAAGCTTGCATGAGTTCTACAGGCTTAAAAATGGCGGCGACATCTGATCACCCAGACGAGACGCAGAGCTCAACACCTAAACTTGCTCTGTTTTCATTTCCGGAATCAAAAGACGAGTCTCCGTCCCCGATTTACACCAGTCTTAGAGTTTCTATCCCATTTCAGTGGGAGGAAGCTCCGGGGAAGCCCAGAGTGCTGTTTAACGTCGACGAGGAGTCGGAGAAGAAGAACGGAGAGTGTCAGCAACTCGAGCTGCCGCCGAGGTTGAACATGCCGTCTCCGACGACTGTGCTCGACGGTCCTTACATCCGCCGGTCTATGTCGTTGAGGAAAGGGGAGAGTTGGGGGAAGAAGGTGATGAGCTTAGATTATAAGGGTACTAGTGTTCTGTTCGGGTCAACGAGGTGGGGGAATGGTTTGACCAAAAACACAGAGGTTATCGGAGACGGCTTTGACTTTTTGACTTCCGACGTCTATGGCGGTGACGGCGATGACGGAGGGATGACGGATGTGAAGATCACGAGAATGAGGAGAAGAGGGAGCTTCTTTGGTCTGTCATACGGAAGGTCAAATATTTTGGTTAGTGCCGTTAATTTGCACGTCTCAAATTCTTAATTTTCTTGTTTGAGAAATTAATATATATATATATATTTATCAATTATGGCCAGAATACTTACGATTTTACCTTAATATTTTTTTTTTAAAAAAAATTATTTTAAAACTCAAAAAATTATCATTTTTATATTTTTATAATTAAAATAAATATAAAATTTTTTAATTAAATTATACTGACAAAATTATTTTTCTCCAATCATATTGTTAATTTATATATATTTTTTTGTAATAGAAATTGTTAATTTATAATTTATTTTCGCCCTATAATAAAATTTACAACGTTCGTAATCAGCAGTCGTTTGCTAGAAAATGAAAAAGGCTCCTTAAATTTATATACATACATACATATATATATATATATCTCCATATATCAAATCACCATTATACATATACACATGTATGTATGTATATATACATAGACACATGAAAATAAATGTATGTATATATTGATTAATTATATGACATAAACTGCAGAGAAGCATTTATGAAGGCATTAAGCAGGTGGTCCCTAAGAGCAGCCGTCGGCAAGAAAAGATGAGGAAGATGAACTCCTCAAGCGTCCCTTCTCTTTGATCAAATTTACTGTAATAATTTCATTCAATTTTCTTCATATAAATTAAGCTTCTGTATATATAAATATATATATATATAGAGAGAGAATTATGTTATGGTATGCTATTTATTTCCTTTTCCTTCATTAAAAATATGTATATATAAACATGTTTAATTTAATAGTGTTGTCAAATTTGGTATATGTATATATATATATATACATATATAGAGTTAATCATTTTTTAAAAACAAGAACCTGATTAACAACTTTGATTAAAACCAAGAAGAACCCATAATTAGTTACATCAAGATTAGCGAGCGTATATGATTAAGAACAAGCTCTTAAGATGTATATACTGCTAACGATATGTAGCTAACATATGTGTGTGTGTGTGTGTATATATATATATAGCTATATGACTGTATCTATCTGTGAATTCATGACATGGGTATAGGTTAAAAACCATCAAGGAGTAGCTTAGGCAGCAGCTTTAGCCAATGCTCTTCTTCTCTTGTAATTAGCTTTGAAGCATACTTGTCTAAGCTTCTTGGTTCTTTGTGAGAGCTCCATGTCTGGTACTGCTTCTAAAAGCCTCTTGTGCTCCTTCAATACTGCTATCTCACCATCCATTCCCAATTCCTATAGCACAATATATATATATATATATATGTTCAAGAAAATAAATATTCAATATTCACAGTCATACAAAATTTTAAAAAAATATAAAATTTAACATTGTTAAACAAATATAATTATATTTACGAATAACATCGACAATAAACTTTTCACTATAATAAAATTATAATATATTATTAATAAAATTATAAATTTTTATATAGTTAAAAGTAATAAATTTTTTTTTAGAATATTTTTAGTAACATATATAAAATATTTATCAGAATATATTCAGAATATTCATATAGTAAAACCCATTGTAACAATATGTATAGTACCCATTTGATGATAATGAAGTTATATGCGTATAATCATGCATGCAGAGTAGGAGTTATGTGTATAGATATATACCCTGACATTTTCAATGAGACTCTTCAAGCTCTTAATCTTCCTATGAGGCCACCTAGTAATGTTCAGCTCTCTGCATCTCTTCTTCAACACTGTTAAACCAACTTTCATTTCCTTGGCCGCCATTGTTATGGGCGAATCGAAGTGCTTCTGAATCTCCTTCAGTTCCAACTCACTAGATTTCTTCCTCCTCCTCTTCATCCTCCTCTCTTCTCCATCTTCTTTCTGATCTTCACTTGAACCTCTACGGACTCGATCATGAACCAGAGACCTTGTATCGCTCTCAGTCAACTCAGTACTGCTAGAACCACCTGCAACATTCAGCGGCTTCACACCCGCCGTGAAATCTTCGTATAAATTTACCTCATCGTCAAACCCCTTTATCTCAGTCAACTCAGTGCTCTCCTGCTTCCTCAGTGGCTCGGTATACGAGTCGGTACTAGTTAATTCGAGCAAGCTCGGAAGAGGTGGCAACTCCATTATCCTGCAACATAGAAAGCAGATACAGTAGATATAAACACGTACCTATACGCAAATACAGTCCAGTCCTTACTTTTCAAATGATTCTTCAAAGAAAACCCAGTCAAACTGATAAAGTGGGTCCCCCTCCATTTTCGGAACCAAATCACCATTGACAGCAGAATTCTCCATTGAAGAGTAAGATTCCGAGAAAGAGAGAGTGCAGATAATTTATGAAGGGTAAAAATGGGAGATGTAAATTGGGGAAGAAGAAGATTGTGAATTTGTGCATATGTGCGTGTGGGTGTATATATATATATATATATATATATATATATAAATAATGGGGAATTGTGCATACCTCTACAGGAGTTACAATTACAGTGAGAATGAAATAAATATGTGAACAATTACCAATTAAACAAATTGTAATTAATATAGGGGGCTGAATCATGGTTGCTTCTTTAATTTTGATTTATACCATTTGATTAATTTTACTCATCATTTAATTTTCTTTTTTAAAAAATTTTAATTACTTGCCCCAATATATATTCCGTTGACTGTTAGATTTATAAAGATATATTATATATCCATTTCTGGTAAATCTAACGGCAAACATAATGTAGGTCAACTTGGGAGAGTCAGCCTTGAATTCATTACTCCTAAATTTGACATTCTGACTTTAATTTTTAAACAATTCAATTTTTGTTATAAAATTTTTTTTTTACACATCCCATCTTTTATCATTATCATATAATCGCTTATTTATAAATTTCGTGTAGGGTTAATAATTTTCATTTCCCGACTTATGATTCATTCCGTTATAAGTTATATAGACATTGAAAAATCCTATTTGATCACCTTATAATATTTTTGAACAAATTATTGGATAACGAGTTTAGATATATATTTTTTTTTATTAATGATATTGATATTGATCATAGTAACGATATTACGAAATTATATAAAAAAAATATATAATCACTATTTTGTTCTTCAAAGTTAATTATAAACCCGATTGATTTATTTTAAGATTCTAACTAGATTATAAGTAATTAGACTTTTTTTTTTTTTATAAGAACTAATTTTCTATTTTCCCTAATACCCAAAGATTTCCATGCAATTTAATGCTAATTTTACTTTTAACATGCGCGTATAAGATGAAATTATGTAAAATTTTGTGTGTGTGTGTTTGCATATATATAATAATTATCTCGTAATTATCAACTTAATTAATGTACCAACTTTAAATGAGATGATAATTATCTCGTAATTATCATTTTAATCCAAGTGCAATTTCAATAATTAATTAAAGCAAGCAGGCATGAATAACAACTGTTCAAGCCTGTAATTGCATTTGGTACCCGTTCGCACTTAGTGGATGAGCTTCATAAATATAAATAAATTACACGTTCGGTTTAGTTTAATTCATAAAAATTTAAACTAAGTATAGAAATATGTTTAAATATTATATTTTTGTTTAATTCATAATTTTTTTTTTTATAAATAAGATTAGTGCAAGTCCTAATTGAAAAATGAATCGAATTATTGATTGTCGTAAAGATTAATCGTAAAGACCCTGATGCCCATGGCTCAATCGTCCTCACGAAGAAATACGTGCTTCTGAAATATCTTTTATACTATGCCCGACTTCAAAATTAGTTTTATACATATGACCCGCAATGAAAAAAATAAATACAACAAAATTTATTTGAACCAAGATTTAGAATGTACTAAATAAATGACTATTTGAATCAGGATTTTGAGCACGAAGATTCCACTTACCTGTAAAAACGTGGGTTTAACCCTTGAGAATGCGGTTATATATATAAAAAATTATTCCAAGGAACATATTCACAACGGGATTCATAAATAACGACATGGACAAAATGCCATGTCCAAGCCAAGAAGCTTACCCTAAAGAGTCGTGACAAATAATATTCGGTATTTTTGACACCACGAAAGGCTCGACTCGTAGGTGCAAGCAACCCCCCATATTATCTAGTAAAAATAATTTTTACAAGTTAAAATAGTTAAAAATTAATAAAATACCACATAGAATAAAATTTAAACTACTAATAAAAATGTTTTAATTAAAAATTAGAAGCCACTGTAATTAATAATTTATGGGTTTGGGTTAATTATTATTATTTAATGGGCCTTCATCGAGCCCAAACAGATCTAACGGCCCAAATTTTTTTAAAAAAATGATTGTGTTGGGAAAAAAAGTGGGACCCACCACAAGCTCTGTCTGATCGTCAATCACGCCACGGATTCTCAAAGAAAAATAAAAATCGTGAGGACCACGTTTGGCAAATTAATTTTATTTTCTCAATTTCAGAATAATTTGATATATATATATATATTTTTTTTTTATTTTAATATTGACATATTAAATTAAAATTAAATATATATTATTTAATAAATGTTGGGTCTTTTTGTAGTGACTTATTTACTTTTAAAATATTATGTATAAGAATTAAATTTAAATTATTTGTAATTACAAGTATAATGGATATATATTTATACATGAATTTATATATATATATATATACATATATGTATATGTTTTAGAATAATTTTATATAATAATATTAGTTTTGCCATCCGGCTTTGTAATATTAAGAGTGAATATAAAATTGCACGTAGTGTTTAATTAGTGGGAGGTTTGACTTTTGACGACCGGAGTAGTTGCTTATTTGTCTTTTCAGGCGTATTCGAATTTCAAACATGTAACAAATTATGTCAACCATTTTTAAAAAAAGTTTTAAAATGCGACACCTAAAAAATATCACTAAATATTTATTTTATTAAAAATTATAAATCAATTAGAATCCCTTTATAATAAGATCAAATATATTAGTAAAATAAATCACTGTTTCAGTAGATAAAAAATTATAAATTAATTATTAAAATATTTAAATTCGTGATATTTAAATATGATACGAATATTTTAATAAATAAATCATTAATTTAAAATTAAATAAAATTAATTTATTAGTGTATGATAGAATTGCAATTACAAAAAGCAAATTAAAGGTTACAACTTTAGAATTCATGGTTTACTAAGAAAAAAAAAAGAAGCTTGATTTGTTTATACAATAAACTTTATTGTAAAAGTAATTATAAAAAGCAATAATATAAATAAATTTCAAAAAGATAATTATATAATAATTTTATATAAAATTAAAATAGAAATCATACTCTACAAAAAAAAGCTCCAACATTTTTACACCTTCAAATGGGGGTGGTAAAACAATCAGCCGGTCAAGATTAGGCAGGCCATCTCAAGGAGCAAAGGTGTGGACTTGAAGAACTGAAAATCATCTAATCCCAAAAGGCTCTCTCCCCATCATCAGAAAGAGGAGGAAGGAGAAGAAGAAGAAGAAGAAGAAGAAGAAGAATACAATATTTTCAGGGTCCCACCACAAGCCGCTCATGATGTGAAACTGGGATTTATTCCTTTAAAAAAAACCAGGTTTTTGTTCCTATAATCAATCACCAAAACAAAAAACATGCTCCGGATTCTCTGCAAATTATAATGCAGACGTGCTCTCCTTTAATACTCTTCTCTTTTTCTTCATCTTCATCTTGTTCGCCAT